GGCCCGGCCAGAAAGCTCTGTGCGCACCGTCTCATGAGGCTGCCTGTCCCCAGCCAGCTGGAGGGGTCGGGAGTCAGATGGGGAACCGAAGTGTCCAGGAGGTTGGAGTGCGGAGAGGTGGAGACCGTCTCTGCAGAAGGGTCGTAGGAGGGTCTGGGTACTGGGGGGAGGGGTGGCCTTACACCTGTTCCCACCCTACACGAGCCTGATCCACCCCTCCAGGCCCCCTGAGACCCCTGCCCTCCCCCAGGCCCCGTGAGGCCCCGCCTCGTGCTCCTGCCTGGGGTGCGCTCGCTCAGCTCCCGCGGGGGCGTGTCTGACCCTGCAGCACCTCGCCAGCGCCCGAGGCAGCCGCGGGCTGAGCTCGCCTCCTCAGTCCTTGGGGAGGGGGCTTCCGTGGGTGGGGGGGACCCCAGGCAGCAGGTGAGGAGCACCAGGAGAGGGGGCCAGAGGCCAGAGCCGACCCCCTACAGCCCTTGCTTGTGTCTTCCCGCCAGGGAGGAGTTGGATGGACCAGACTCGAGCCGGGAGGCTGGACCTGGGAGGAGCTGGGCGGCCAAGCCCAGGGGTCCCTGGCTGACGGAGCCCCTGGGACCACGTGGGCAACCCCAGCCTGACAAACGCGTGGGCTGGACCCGGGGAGCCTGGATGCTCCCCACCCACCAGGGTCTATGCAAAGCCTCCCCTGCCTCAAGGACCCTGTAGGAACGAGACCCGCAGGGGCTGAGCAGAAGGACGGGGACAGGCCAGCAGAGCAGCTGTCGTGAGGCCCTGGCTGGCTGACCCCCTGGCCTGGTCCTCCGTCAGAAAGGAGACTCTGCTCCCAGGGGCCACCCTGCAGCCCCTCCTCCTGCACCCCGTGCAAGAGGACCGGATGGGGCTGTGGTCCCGGAGCAGGACCTGGTCCCGCTCTGCACTCGGCCTGCAGGGTCCCTGGAGCCAGCTCCTCTCGGATCGGGGAGACTGTCCTGCACACGTAGGCTCAGGGGCTCGCATCCCGACTGTCCCGTGCCCCATGATAACATGTGGGTGGTCCCCCCCACCCCGGGGTCCCAGGTGGGTCCTGTACACGCTGCCACAGGCGCCCAGATGGCGGCTGCAAACACACAGATTAATTGTCCCCGTCCTACAGGCAGCAGTCGCACGTGGTCCCCCCAGGCAGACGCCCAGGACGGGCAGGGCTCATCCTTCTGGAGGCTCCAGGGAAGACTGTTTCGTCCCTTTCCCAGCTCTGGAGCCACCGGATTGCTGGGGTCGGGACCCCTCTCTGCACCTCACAGCAGCATCTCCGCAGAGGCACTTTCCTCTGAGCCCAAACTCCAGTTCTGTCCTCACACCTGCCCTGACTCTCACTTCTGCCTCCTGTTCACGGGGACCCACGGGGAGGGGGCTTGGTAGGTTCACCGGGGGGCCTCGAGGGCGGGGATTGTCTCTGGAATTAGGACGTGGACGTTGTAGAGGACACGATTCCGCCTGCCACACTGCCCCAGGCGGAAACTCCACAGAATGGCAGTTACAGAAGCAGGCGTGGAGGGCCTGGGCGCACCAAGGACTGAGCTGGGGAGCCTGTAGAGCCGCGTGTGCACAACCGAGTCTCAGAAAACAAGGAGAGCTCACACGGACACCCTGCATCCACACGCTTAGGAGAAGCGCAGAGACTTTTTCCAGCTGAGCTGAAAGCCTGCGACAACTCAGGAAACAGCCCTATAACGCTGAATACAGAGGTAAGGAAAAAAAGCCTTTCCTGGTGCCAAAAGGGCAAGGGAGCGCCCTTCTCATTCGCTTTCCCTTTAGAAAACCTGCAGCATAGCGTCCCGTCTCCCTGAGATGTGTGTGACTCTCTTTAAGCTGGACCCCCGGCCTGTTTGCATCCCAGGAACGTCTGTCTGGGGGCCCTGGAGCCTCTGCAAAGTGAACATCGGGAAGGGGGTCCTGCCTAACCCTGAGGGAGTTTGGCCCCAGGATGTGATTCCCTGCTTGTCGACAAGATGCCCAAAGTTGTATTTTTTCCTTTGGGTAAAGACAACTAACGGGTGTGTGATGGGTGGTCCCGGCCGCCTGGCCCAGTACACAGGGAGATTCTTCCTGCTTGCTGGGCTGTTGGGAGACATTTTAATTACACCCCTGACGCTACCGTGGGAAAGGGCGAGGACTGGCAGCCGTGAACACGTGGACGCAGAGCGGACGGGGAAGCCGGACCTGCCTCCTTCACGGCCAGCGTTCGCAGGGCTTCTGCCGGGCGGCCGGCACGGAAGAACCGGAAAGGCTGGTTCACGAACACACGCAAAGCTTTTACTGTCTCACGGCTCAAGCACCCTGGACAGGACGTCAGGTCTCCAGACGCCTGACGGTCAACCGGAACCACTCGGAGCGCCACCATCGACGCCAGCTTCCAGCCCCACCGGCCCTCCCGCCAGGCTCACGGGGGTGTAGGGCCCACGCAGGGAGCCCGCTTCTCTCTGAGGCGGGAACGTTGCAGCCCCCCGGCCCCCGGGGAGCCCCCCCCCAATCCTCGGGGAGCATCCCCACCCTTGGGCTTCCTTTCAACCTGGAAAGAGCTTCCTGAACCTGCCATAAGCTGAGTCGCTTATGATGACCTTGACATCGGCCACCCCGGCCTCAGGCCTCACGTCCACCGCCTGCACCGTGGCCTCCTGATGCAGCCAGCTGGGAGGAAGACGCGTTTGGTGGTAACGGGCGGCCCCGACAGAGCCCCGAAGCCCCCAGCGAGGCGTCCCGCTTCTCGGCGGGTGGCATCGCCCACGGCCCCGGCCTGCGGGTAAGCGGCCGGGCACCTGCTCACCGCCTGAGCAGCCAGACCGGCTGCGGGGGATGCGGCTGCCCCCGAGTCGCACCCGGACCCCACCTGGCGCCGCCTTCCCCGCCCAGGCCCAGGGCCCCGCCCCGCGCAGCGACTGGTGGGACCCCCGCCACCCCACCCCCCGCCGGGCCGGCCCGACGCACCTCAGCTGCGGCCCCGCCAGCCCCACTCGCAGCGTGAGGACCCGTCTGCCCGTGGCTTTCAGAACTGCTTCCTCCAGCCTGGCTTTCAGCTCTTCCAGCCCGAGCCCCAGGAGCGCTGACACGGCCACCGCGCCGGGTTCGGCGGGTATGTACCTGTAGGGGCGGCCGACGGCTCAGCGAGGGGGGCCGGAGCGGGGACCCCGCCCGCAGGCCCAGCCGTGACGGGCTCAGATTGTGCCGGGCGAGGACGCGGCCCCGCCGGAAGGTGAGAGGAAGGACGTGCGTGGGTCTGGGGTGCAATCCGGGCCCGCGGGGTGGCGGGTCCAAGCGCGCCGCTCGAGCGGCAGCAGGCGTGTCAGGGCACGCCTGAAAGCAGGAGCGGGGAGGCGGCCGCCCCGCCGGCGAGAGACCCGCGTGCGCCCTGGTCGCCAGCGCGAGGGGTCCGGCGGCGGTGGGGCGGCAGGCGCTCACCCGGGCACCAGGTCCACCTTGTTGGGCACTTCCACCATGCAGTCCAGCAGCGGGCGCGGCAGCTGCAGGGTCCGCAGGGCCGACAGGACGCTGGCCTTCTGCAGCTCTGTCTCGGGGTGGCTCACGTCTCGCACGTGGACGATCAGATCCTGAGGACCAGAGGGGCCGGGCAGTCGGAGAGCTCGGGGCCAGCGGTGCCTGGCCCCGCTCGGGAGGACCCGCCAGGTCCACGATGGGGGCTGCGCACCGCTCTCCGTGGGAGGTGGGTGCGGCCGCCCCACGGAGGCTTGTGCCCCAAGGGGGCAGGTGGGACCTGAGGCCACAGAGCCGCTCTGCCGTGCACGGAGCCCCCCAGTGCCCCTCGTTCCGGGCCAGGCTGCCGCTCCAGGTGCACCCGGACTGAGGGGCCGCCTCGTGTCCCCGCCCCGCAGGTGCTGGCCCTACGCCTGCGTGCGGCCACTTGCCCCGTCACCAACCCCCCACCCGGCGGGTGCTGTGCTCGAGGCTCCGGGCCGCTCCACTGTTCTGTGAAACCAAGCTCACGTTCTAAAAAGGCTTCCACCCCTATTCCACACGTTTTACAGGCAGGTACCTTATGCAAAATTCAGAAGAGACAGAAAAGGAGAAAGAGCAGCTGAGGGTAGTAATTCTGCCACAGGAAGGACGTGCCCTTCACAATTTGGGGGGTTCGCTTCTGGGTTGTCTCTTTTTTTGGATGAACTTAAATTTTCTTTTAATCAGCGTTTCAGTTCAGTTCTAGATTTTCAGACACTTTTGAGAACGGTGCTGGCAGCTGCACGTGGCCCTCAGGCTCAGCTGCTGTGACCTCGAAGGTGCTGGGGCATCTGTCACCCGGAGGGCCCCGCAGCCCCTGCACCCTGAGTAAATGCCAGGGTTCACTGGCTCGGGGCCCCAGTGCAGCCAAAAGGTGCAGAGAACCCCTTCTTCATTAGCATTGCCTTCACAGCACTTACACTCGTACAGAGCACAGCTCGCTGAGGGTCAGGGATGGGGGGGATCCAGTCATCGTGAAGTTTTGTGTAATGTGACCCTGCCCCGGGATGCTGTGATGAGGGGACCCTGCCGCGGGATGCTGTGATGAGGGGACCCAGGCCCGTGATGCTGTGATGAGGGGACCCTGCCCCGTGATGCTGCGATAAGGGGACCCTGCCCCGGGATGCTGTGATGTGGGGACCCTGCCCCGTGATGCTGTGATGAGGGGACCCTGCCCCGTGATACTGTGATGAGGGGACCCTGTCCCGTGATGCTGCGATGAGGGGACCCTGTCCCGTGATGCTGTGATGAGGGGACCCTGCCCCGTGATGCTGTGATGAGGGGACCCTGCCCCGTGATGTTGGGATGAGGTGACCCAGGCCCGTGATGCTGTGATGAGGGGACCCTGCCCCGTGATGCTGTGATGAGGGGACCCTGTCCCGTGATGCTGTGATGAGGGGACCCTGTCCTGTGATGCTGTGATGAGGGGACCCTGCCCCAAGATGTTGGGATGAGGGGACCCAGGCCCGTGATGCTGTGTTGAGGGGACCCTGTCCCGTGATGCTGTGATGAGGGGACCCTGTCCAGTGATGCTGCGATGTGGGGACCCTGCCCCGTGATGCTGCGATGAGGGGACCCTGCCCTGGGATGCTGTGATGAGGGGACCCTGCCCTGGGATGCTGTGATGAGGGGACCCTGCCCCATGATGCAGTGATGAGGGGACCCTGCCCCGTGATGCTGTGATGAGGGGACCCTGTCCCGTGATGCTGTGATGAGTGGACCCAGGCTCGTGATGTTGTGATGAGGGGACCCAGGCCCGTGATGTTGGGATGAGGGGACCTGCCTCCTGTTGGTGGGTATTTGAGGCGACCTGGCCCTCCACACTCACCGAATGGCCCACGTCCTCCAGGGTGGCCGAGAAGGACTCGACCAGGCTGTGGGGCAGCTGGGAGAGGAAGCCAATGGTGTCCATGTAGATGACAGTCAGCCGGGAGGGCAGCCTCCCCGCGTGGGCTGTGACGTCCAGCGTGGCAAATAGCTGGTCCCGGGGCTGGATGGCGGCGTCCCCTGTCAGGGCCTTGATCAACGTGGTCTTTCCTGCACGTCGGGCACAAGGGGACCATGCGTCTCAGACCCCTCCGGTCCCCCACCGACCACTGTGGACCTCGGGGCTGCCCCACACTGATCACAGGGCGCTGGAGGATGGGCAGGGGCAGGAGGTCTGTGCGCTCAGAACTCACCGCAGGACCCATGGGACGCTGTGCGGGCTGTGCAACGACTCAGCTGCCACTGTCTAGCCTTCAGGGTAAAGTGGACCAGGGCCAGGGCAAGAGTGCTGGTGTAGACGGGAGAGATGGCATAGACAAAGACAGTGGTGACGTGCATGTGAGGTGGGCAGGCGTCCAAACAGGCGGAGGGATGGTCCCGTGGAGTAACCGAGCTGTGGTGTGGTGTCCGTGTAGACGAGGGAATGGTGGAGTAGGGGGGTGCAGTGTGTGCAGAGAGGTAGTGAGGGTGTAGACAGTGCTGTGTGTACCTGAGGAGGTCCTAGAACACCCTCCTCCACAGCCTTTCCTGACAACGTGGACACTTTCTCCACCGAGCCCAGGTTCAGGGGCAGCAGCAGTAACCGTCCAGCCCAGGGACACCCCTGGCTACGCCTGTAAGTCCCGCCGATGGCCCACCAGGAGGTGGTGAGGGGTCCTGCCGTCGAGTAACTGGATGGCGGGGCTCGGCCTGGACGCCCCTGCTCAGTGCAGGACCCCGAACTCCCGGTCAGTGAGAGTCGGGATCAAGCCAACACTCACTGGATCCTGTGACAGTTAGCGGAGGACACGGCACCCTCTGGGGATGCAGCCAGGAGGGGCAGTTGGGATTTCCTGACACGGGTGATCTTACCTGTAGACATTTACGACTTTTCAAGCCTGGACACCCACCCCACAGCTTCCTGTGCACGTTTATGGGACATTCCCTCCCTCCTCTGGACGCAGACCGTGAGCGCCTGATAAAGGGACGGGCCCGTCACAGCAGTGCTTCCCGAGCATGTGGCGGGGCCGGGCCTCAGGGGAGCCCAGCAAGTGTTGTGGACTGAATCCCCACAGTGGAGGGAACTGGGTGCTTTCCACTTATCTCAGGGCACCTGTGACCCTAAAGGACGCCCTACACTCTGTTCCCCACGTGGAGTCCACTTGATGTGCTCGTGCAGACAAAGCTGAGGACAGACTGCAAAGTTTTCCTTGGCAACATCTGAACCACTCTGATCCCTGCAAGACCCTGTCCACTCTCAACGGACTTAAAACTGTCACTACTTCCTCGTTCTCAGAGTCTGGAGGACAACCACTAAGAGGGGCGTCAGCCCACGGCAGTCACACGGGGGGCCGCCCCGGGACGGGGCCCGAGTGCAGCCCTTCTCACTGCGGGCTAGCCCTCCATGAATACTCAGTCTCGCTGGGTTGGCAAGTGGGTCCCCCTAGCGTACACCTGCCCGGCCCCGGGGAGGGCCCACTTCTCACCGCAGTTCGTGTATCCAACCACGGAGACCACAGGGAACTCCCGCCGCCTCCGCTGCTGCCCCAGGAGAAGCTTCTTCCGGCGGAGTCTGTCCAGGGCCTTTCGAATCTTCGCTTCCTTATCTTTCAGGAGGCGCTCTTGCACCTGCATGAAAGACTCTCCTAGAAACACCCGAGATGGTGAGTCAGCGAGCAGACACAAAAGGGGCAAGAGCCACGGGGGTGCCTGCGGGGGACGTGGACAGGCTCACGCGTGGGGCTGCAGGGACCCCCCCTCCCCCACCCAGCCGGCTCCCCTGTACACTTGGCCCCAACACCTTCTGTTCTGAGACAGCTCTGCCCGGCGCGAGGTGGCCTTGCACTTCTGCCCTCTGAGGTCTCCTGGGCTCCCCTTTACCCAGGAGGAAGAGGCCAAGGGGAGAGCCTCAGAAGGGCCCCCATGATACCCACAGTGGGCTGAGTGGTGCCCCAAAGATGTGTCCACACCCTGACCCCCAGGACCTACAGATGGGGCCTTATTAAGAAACAGGGTCTCTGCAGATGTGATGCAGTGAAGGGTCTGAGATGAGGTCCCCTGGAGGAGGGTGGCCCTACAAACAATGACAGGGTCCTTCTAAGAGACAGAAGAGGAGAGACCCAGACACAGAGAAGCCCCGTGAAGATGGCGGCAGAGACGGGAGGGACGCGGCCACAAGCCCAGGGACGCCTGGAGCCCCCAGAAGCTGGAAGGGGCGGGAAGGACCCTCCCCTGGAGCCTCCAGAAGGAACCAGCCCTTCTAACTCCTTGATCTGGTCTGCAGGATTTGGGGAGGATGAATGTCTGTGGTTTTAAGGCACCGGTTCGTGGTCCTTCGTTACGGCCGCACCAGGGAAACACCTTGATACCATCCCTTTGACTGTGACCATGGACGAGGCCCCATCAGGACCTCTGAGGAACGTCGTCCCCTTTGTAGGGGTGGTGGCCACGACACGCCCCCCTTCTGAGCTCCCGGTGACAAGACGTCAGACACGGTACCTGACCCCATGATGTGGCGAGAGTCCCGTCCTCGTCCACCCAGGTAGGCAACGTTGTTTTTCAGGTGGGACCTGGCGTGGAAATGGGTCGGCTCAGGAGACGGAAGCATGTGCCCGTGGGAGGCTGGGACAGAGCCCTGGGTGGGGAGTGGGCATCTAGACAGGAAGAACAGGCTCGCTGGGGGCCTCCCCGCCGTGTGGGCCTTCACGGGAGGGGACAGAGGGTCCCTTGCTGGGTGGCACTCCAGTGGGCCACGTGCCCTAGTAGGTGGGTTGCTTGGACACGTCCCCACTGGCCACATTCCACCCTCACCACCCTGGCAACAGTCGAGGTATGGAAAAGCAAGAAGGGGTCCAAGGAGGGTTCCATCTGCCCCGAGCCCGGGCTCTGGAGGTACCTGAGCAGGGGGAGCTCGGCCAGCGCCACCTGCAGCCGGGCCTCCTTGGTGCGGGCGTTGCAGCGGAAAATATGAAGAACCACCGTGAATCGGTCGAACACCTGCACACCCCAGGCGGCTTCCAGTTCTTTCTAGAAGATGGAGCGCGAGGGAGGGGACCTGTGGTGACCCCAGGCCCGTGGAGACCTGTGTTCTCACGGGGACACTAACCCACTTGCTCAGCCGCCGTGGGCGGGAAACAGCGAGCTTCTGAGGTACCTTGGTGGGTGCAGCCATCCTCTCCACATTCAGGAAGACGGCGGTGATTTCCGGGGACCCTCTGATTTTCTCTAGGAAAAGAGGTTGGCCTCTCAGAGGTCTGCACGCCCATGGTGTCTGTCTGGGGACCCTGCACTTTGGCCGTGTTCGCCGGACACCCCGAGTCTCTGAGCACAGTATTTGTCAAGTGTGGGTCGGGAAGGACCGGACCGGGTCCATCTTGAGGGGAGTAGATCTCACACACATGGGGGGTCCCGTGACCCCGTGGGGACTGAGTGCCCGTTAGACACAGATGGGCGGTGAGCGCCCCCCTTGGCATGTCTCCCGCTCTGAGCTGTGAGCTAGACATGGCTTTGGGACGAGGACGTTGCGGTCCATGGAGGGCAGGGGTCACACGCAGGATCCCCTCCGCAGGGCACTGGGGAGGGGGGTGGGCTGGGCTGGGGCGCAGGGCTGGCGTGCGCCCGACTCTCAAAGGTCCCGCCTGTGTCCTGGGGCCTCGTTTGAATTCTGACACGGGCGTGGTGGCTTTTGCCATCTGATCCAAGTTCCTGTGAGGCCCAGAGGGACGACCATGCTTGCTCTGTTTCTGGGAGGGTGACGGGGACACGTGTGCTGGACTCACCTGTCAGGCGCTCCAAGGTCCCTCTGCCGAAGACGAGCTTCCTGTCTGGCGTTTTGGTGGGCACCACCACCGTGTCCACCACCGACCAGCCATCCAGCGTGTGCACCAGCGCCTGTGCCTCCACCACCTGCCACTCAGCTTTGGGGAGAGACAGGCCAGTGTGAGGGTCATTTACGGCTGGGTCAGCCCCGGGCTGTGTCCAGCCCTGCCCAGGGACCTGGGCCACGTGCCCCAGGCTGGGACGGCTTCCTGCTTCCTGCCTACACAACGGTCCCGAGAAAGCGACCCAATCAGTGTTTGCTCGAAATGCAGCTCTGTTCTTCTGGGTAGATGGTCAGGAGGGGTGGACACAGGACCGGGAAGGGGAGCAGGGCCCTGAGCCGAGCAGGGACGCGGGGATGCCCCCACGCCCCGTGTTGGAATCTGGGACATCTGCCCCGTGGGGACTCATGGTCCCTTGTGACCCACTGGACAGCATCCCCTGTGAGGCTCCCAAGGGCCCATGAAACCTGCCGCCCCGCCTGCGGGGTGGGGCCCTTGCCGAGCCTGGCCCAAGAAAGGAAGCGCCCACCCAGGGCCCCGGCCGTGAACGGTGAGGGCGTGTGTGTGTGTGTGTGTGTGTGTGTGTGTGTGTGTGTGTGTGTGTCTGTGTGTTTGTGTGTGTGTCTGTGTGTCTGTGTGTGTGTCTGTGTCGGGAGAGGCAGGGCCCAGCCAGGGCAGGAGCCCAGGACACCGAGGGCACAGGCCGTGGATGGAGGGCTGTCGGGGGCCGCCCCGCCCTAGGCTCTCCTCCTGACGGTCCTTCCCGAGCAGGAAGGGGGCATGGGATAGCCGAGACTCTCCCCTGAAGGACAGCAGGCAGATGGGCAGTGATGCCAACGTGTCCCGGGGCTGGGCCGGACAGGGTGGACGGGGCTGACTCAGGTCTGGAGGGGCGGTGGCCTGGAGGACAGCTCTGCGGGGCCCCGGGCGTGTTCTGTGAGATGTGGAGCGTGTACCCCAAGCCCCATGGGAGGCTGGCCCCCCATCCCGCGCCTGTGCCCCCGCCCCCTGGGAGGCCACCCTTGCACAGAATCTCAGAGCCGTGGCCCCTCTGTGGCACCGCTGCTTCGCTGTCCCCACTCCCCGGACACCTGGGTGCTGCTGTCTCTGGGGTCACCTGACCCTCCTCAGGGCACAGCCAGGACACAGGCCAGAGGCTGGGGAGTAGGGGCCAGGCAGGGTCTGAGGCCACAGATCAGGGTCCCCCCCTTCTCTGGACCGTGGTCCTCATCCTCTGGGCTGTGCGGGGGCCCCATCTTCTGGGACATGGGGGGCGGGGTCCCCCATTCTCTAGGCCAAGGGGAGGTGGTCTTCTTGGGTGTGACGCCCCATGGGCCCGCCAGCTTGTCCCACCTCCTGCACCTGCTGGTCGCTCAGGTCAGCAGGTGCTTGGTCACGCCTGACCTCCGTCCTTCAACTCCAGGTCTGACCCAGCAGTAATCCCTGCAGGTGCTGTCTCTCCTGATCGCAGGGGCCACAGCCCCAGCTCCGTGGTGAGAGCCTGCACGGGTGCCAGCGGCCTCCCTCCTGCTGCGCTGCACAGCTGCCTGCCTGGGGGTCTGGCACCCCGCAACCCCACCCTGAAGGCCAGGGTTAGGATTCGGCGGGGACAGAAACGGAGAAGCACTAGTGCGGGTCACAGCCCAGGGGCACAGGCACCATAAGAGACCGAACCCTGATCCCAGGACCACAGAAGGCTTCCCCTCCCCCACACGTCAGCACCTCACCACTAAGGTCTATTTACAGCAGTTCCTTTCACCTTGTGCATCACGTCTAGCTATCAAAAAAAAACTACCAGGCGCACCAAAAGGCAGTCCGAAGAGACAGAGCGAGCATCAGAACCAGACGTGGCAGGTGTTGGACTTACTGAGCCAGGAATTTAAAACAACTATGATTACCATGCCAAGAGCTCTAATGGATTTAGTAGACAGCATGCAAGAACGGACAGGCAAGGCAAGCAGAGAGATGGAAATCCCAAGAAAGAACCAAAAAGAACTGCTAGAGATCACAAGCGCTCTGGCAGAAATGACGACCGCCTCACGTGGGCCTGCTGGTAGACTGGACTTGGCAGAGAAAGGATCCTGGAGTTCAAGCATATGACAACATGGAAAATTAAAAATGTCTGCTCTGCAAATGACGTCATCAGCGGACTGAGAAGTTAAGCCACAGACCTGGGAGAAAATATGTGCAAAAAACACATCCATAAGCGCTGGTATCCAAAATATAAAAACAATTCTTAAAGTTCAGCAATAAGAAAACAACCTACTAAAAAATGGGCCAGACACCGTAACAGACACCTCACCAAAAAGATATACAGATGGCAAATGAACATAGGACAAGATGGTCCACATCCTCTGTCATCAGGGAAATGCAAACTAAAACAGCAATGAGACACCACTACACACCTATCAGAAGAGCCAAAATCCACAATCCTGACAACACGAAATGCTGACAAGCGTGTGCAGCACCTCTCCCACTCACTGCTGGGAGGGAAGCAAAATGGTACGGCCACTTCGGAAGATGCTCTGGCAGCTTCTCATAAAGCTAAACATAGTCTTACCATACAATCCGGCAATCATACTCCTTGGCATTTGCCCAAAGGATGTGAAAACTTACATCCACACAAAAACCTGCACATCGATGTTTATAGCAGCTTTATTCATAATTGTCAAAACGGAAGCAACAAAGGTGTCCTTTAGTACATGACTAGATAAATAAACTGTGGTCCATCCAGACAATACAATATTATTCAGCACTAAGATGAAATGAGCTGTCAGGCCATGAAAACACATGGAGGAACCTTAAATGCATATGACTAAGTGAAAGAAGCCAGTGAGAAAAGGCTACACACTGTGTGGTTCCAGGTCTATGACACTCTGGAAAAGGCACAACAATGGAGACAGTAAAAGGCCCAGTGTTTGTCAGGGGTTTAAGACGGGGAGGGAGGGATGAACGCGTGGGGCACAGAGGATTTTTAGGGCCGTGAAACGACTCTGTATGATGCTATAATGGTGGATACACGTCATCGTACATTTGCCCAAACCCACAGAATGTACAAGACCAGGAGTGAACCCTAATCAACGTAAACCGTGGACTTGGGGTGACGATGTTATGTCAACATAGGCTCGTCAGTTATAACAAATTCACCGTCTGGTGGGGATGCTGAAAACGGCAGAGGCCATCCGTTGGTGAGGGCAGCGAGTATATGTGAAAAGTCTCCATACGTTCCCCCCAATTTTGCTGTGAAACTAAAATCACCCTAAAAACAAGTTTTTAAGAAAAAAAAGGAACGAAGCACTGACACAGGCTACAACATATGTACGCCTCAGAAACATGGTGCTCAGTGAGAGAAGCCAGACACGGAAGGCCACATATCACGCACATGAAATGTCCAGGACAGGCAAATCCACGGGGACAGAAGGCCGACTCCTGCTTGCCGGGGGTTGGGTGGGGGAGAAGCAAGGGGGAGGCCTACTACTGAGGGTACAGGGTCTCCTTCCGGGGAGATGAGAATGTTGTGGAACCAGACAGAGGTGGTGGCTGCACAAGACTGTGAACGTCCTAGTTGCCCCTGAATGGTACCCTTCAAAGTGGTTAATCTTATGCTCTGCTAACTGTATCTCAATAAAGGTCTAAGAGGAGTAAAGGAATAAGGAGAATGCCACCCCTCAACCCGCAATCGCGTCACTGCTCTGCTCAACCCAGAGTACCTGTGATGACCTGACTCCTTGCATGGCTGCACCACTGCAGTGACTTGGCTCTGACAGCCCCTGAACAGCCGAGGGGCAGCGGTCCCAGGAGGGCCCAGGACGTGCTCCCTCAGGAGCCCTAACCCTGGACACTGTCCCTATTCATCCGTGGGGTCCGTCTCCCCAGGCCATCCAGGACCACCCTGGTGAGACGGCCCCGTCCCCGCCCCCGTCCGTCCGCCTTCCTGCTGGGTTCTGAACACAGCACTCAGGTCAGGCGGCGAGCTCCTGCCCGGCGTGTTTGCTGTCCTCCCAGCACGACCGGGGCGGGTACAGTGGGGTTGCTGATGCCCGAGGGCCATGGAGGCAGGTCCCAGGCGTCTCAGGGGCTCAGCCGGGTTCACGGTTTCTGCTACAAAGGGCGTGTGAACACGCTTGTGCACAACCTTCGGGCGTAGTACTCAGCGTTACACAGTGAAAGCGGGTCAACAAGGGCTTAAAGCTGAGCGACACACCCCGTGCAAACCGGCGTTAGTTGTTGGATTCTCTTCCTTTACAGATGGGGAGGCTGCGCGGGGCAGAAGGGCCGAGCGACAACCTGGGGCGCGTCCGAAAGGGGAAGGGGCCCCGGACCCGCTATGTGCACGCGGGAAGGCGCCCCAGCCCAGAATTAGGATTTCCAGGCCCGCTGCAGGGGTGCGGCTGCCGGGAGCGGGTCGGGTGGGGGTAGTCCAGCTCTCGGAGTCCCGCTCCCAGAAGCCACGCCATAAGGGCTCCAGCCCTCAGAGTCACGCCCCCAAAACCACGCCCCTTCAGCCCGCCCATTCAGAAGCCCCGCCCTTCGGCAGCTCAGCCCAGAGCGCCAGAACTCGAAACCCGCCCCCGGCGTCCCCGCCCTTTAAGTTCCGGGACTCGGCGCTCTTCACGGCTCTCCCCCCCATCAGTCCGCGGCCACAGTCACGGTCACCTCGGGTCCCCGGCGGCTTCCCGGGCCCCCACTTGACGTCAGGGTGAACCAAGCACACGCGCTGGGTCCCCGCCGGCAGCAAAGGGTCCCTCCTCAGCAGCTCCTCCTCCTCCTCTTCCTCCTCCTCCGCAGCTTCTGGTTCCTCCTCACCCTCCTTTCCTCCAGTCCGACTTCTCCGGCCATCTGCACGTGGTCCCCGCCCCCCACCCCCTCGCCCCTCCGGGCACCCCAGGCCCCCTCGGAAGGCGGCGAGCGCACGCTCCGGGCAGGGCGACAGCGGTGGCGCGGCCCTCGGAGCCCCGCAGCCGCGAGCCACGCGAAAGAGCCAGGACGCCGGGCGGACGGCGGCTCGCACGGCCCACATACCGCAAGCGCTCCTACGCAACAGGGCGGGGCCTCAGGGGCGTGCTCCCATGCAGGCTGCCCATTGGCCGTCCGGGTCACGTGCTCGCCGCCGCCTGATTGGTGCGCGCGGTCCGGGCCGGGAGGCCGGTCTGGGACACCGCAGCCTGGGCACACGTTTCTCTCTGCTGCGGATGCTCTAGGCGGCTTCCCAAGGCACGTAGTGCCGGAGCAGGGCCAGACCGGGCACCCAACCCAGTGGGCGCTCCCCCACGCTCGCCACCTCCCCGCACCCCGGTCAGGCCTCTGCGCAGGGTCGGGGTGCGGTCCTGGGGATCAGTCCCGTCCTCCGGAACCCCGAACTCTGCCTTGGTGGATCCGAGTGTGGCTCCAGGGGTCCCAGACCCTGCCTTGGTGGAGGTCCGAGGGCGGCCCCCGGAGCCCCAAACGCTGCCTTAATGGTCCGAGTGCAGCCCTGGGGTCCCAGGTCCTGCCTTAGGGCTCTTAGTGTGTCACAGGAGTCCCAGATCCTGCCTTGGGGGTTCAAGTGCATTTCTGAGTGTCCCAGACCCTGCCCTAGGCGTACAAATGCGGACCCGGGTCCTAGACCCTGCCTTAGGGGGAGTCTGAGTGCAGCCCTGAGGGCCCAGAACTCTGCCTTAGGGGTCCCGGTTCAGCCTGGGTTTCAGACCATGCCTTGGGGAGGGGTCCCGGATCCTACCTTAGGTGTCCGGGTGCGGCACCGGGGGTCCTAGACCCTGCCTTGGGGATCCAGTCCCATCCCTGGAGGTCCCAGACTTTACCTTGGGGTCTGGGGTCTGGAGTCTGGACTGGACGGGTATTGCAAACACTGCTTGGGGGTTTCAAATCCAAGTCTGGGGATCTGAAGTCTATGGTGGTAGCTTGACTGTGGCCCTGGGGGTCCAGGCAAGTCGCGGTGGATCCTAAACTCTGCCTTGGGGCTGTGTGTCTGGCCCAGAGGTCACAAACTTGGGCTTGGAGTCTCCTGTCTGGCCCTGGCAGGATGAACTCCGTGTTGGTAGCCCGAGTGTGGGAATGCAGCCCTGGGCCCCAAGACCCTGCCTTGCCGGCAGGGGTGGGGGGTCCTAGTGGGACTCCAGGGGTCATGAACCCTGCTTTGGGGATCCCATCCTATCCCTGGAGGTCTCGAACCCTGTCTTGGGGGTTCCACTCGATCCTTGGGGATCCCAGACCCTGCTTTACGGGATCTGAGTGCAGCCCTGGGACTCCTCAGCCTTGCCTTGCAGGCCCAAGTCTGTGACAGTGCATTCCCAGCCTCTACTTTGGGGGTGTTGAAGTGCCGCCCTTTGGGTCCCAGACCCTGCCATGGGAGTCCAAGCCCATCCCCAGGGGCCCCTGACTTTGCCATGAGTGTCCGATGCTGTCCTTCTGCAGGAGTCCCAAATGCTGGTCGCGGCTTCCCAATAGGACAAGGGGGTGTTCCAAAGTCTGCGATGGTAGCCTGAGTGCAGCCTTGAGGGTGTGAGTCATGCTAGCGGTCTCAGGCCCTGCCCTGAGGGTCCGAATCCAGCTGGCAGATGGAGCTTGGTTCATGATAGCAGACTCCACGGCATCACAGAAGGTGGGAGGCAGGCTGATTCCAAAGGAGAACCCCTCCCATTCAGACTGTAATTAGTCATATTCTCTTGGCAAAACTTACAAATGGCATGGTAACCCTAACCCCACCATTGAAAAAAAAAAAAATACAGTCAAGCCCCAGCCATCACGGATTTGCTCGGCGGGGCGGGGGGGGGGGGGCGGTGAGAAGTCTCTGATTCACGGACGATCCTGCACTTAGAATCAGGAGAGCTGGTGGGTCACCTCTCCCCCTTCGCAGCAGTAGGAAACGATGACTTTGATGTGGTGCCTCTGTCCCCATGGTGTTGCCAGTTTCTTTTCAGTGGCTCCCTTTTGTAACTTGCTTCCCTCTACTGACAAGAGGTGTTAAGAAGTCTAATGGTGGGCTATGCACTTAAAATCCCCAGGGTTTGGGGGTGTCCACACATTTGGGAGATGCTGTGAGTGAGTCGGGGTGGCAGTGTCATTACATGGCTTACAGCTTCAAGGGCTGCATTTAGCAACTTGACTTTTCTTGTACCTTAGATGAAGGTCTGGCCAAATTGTGGTGAAATCAGAGTCTGTCTCAAAAGGCAGTGGCCCTGAGAATATGTGTAAAGGCTACTTATTAGGGATTTTGTCAGGATAACAATCTGCTCAATTTGTATACGTTCGTTACTTGGGCTTGAAAGTGCATTTTCCCTCCATGGAAAAAAGTGACATATTTGTGTAGATAATTAGAAGGTGCAGAAAACAACCCAGAAGGAAATAAAGATCACCTACAATATGACCATACAGAGATAACTATTGTTAAGATTTTGTTATTTATTCTTCCAGTTTTTTAAATGTACATATACACACAGGTTTGTGGATTCATATAATATATATTGTTTTATAAAAGTTTTAACTTAAATTGTATCCTGCATATACTTTCAGTACATAAAGTAGCACTGTGTCTTGACTGCGTAGAATGTGATTCAGTGGCTATTTCACCAGTTACTTAATCCCTCATGTTAACTGGGCTTACATGTATGCCTGGGGATATGACTGCCATGTAGTGAGATCACTGTTCTCTATTCACTCCTCATGCATTTCATATGAAAATAAGCGGCAGCCCGACTATAATTTCGATAGTTGTACTGGGCAAATCACTGACATGCCGAGGAGTTTCTCATCTGGGCGTTAAGCATGCGTGAGTGAGAACCTTCTTTTCTTAATTGAAGTATAGCTGATTTACAGTGTTTCAGGTGTACAGCAAGGTGATTCATTTATATATATATCTATTCTTTTTCAGATTCTTTTCCATTATAGGTTCTTACAAGATATTGAATAGAGTTCCCTGTGCTCTACAGTAGGTCCTTGTTGGTTGTCTATTTTATATATAGTAGTGTGTATCTGTTAATCCCAAACTCCTAATTTATCGCTCCCCCATCCCCTTTCCCCTTTGGTAACCACAGGTTTGTTTTCTATGTCTGTGAGTCTATTTCTGTTTTGTAAATAAATTCATTTGTATCATTTTTTTTTTAGATTCCATATATAAGTGGCATCTTATGGTATTTGTCTTTTTCTGTCTGTCTTCACTTAGTATGATAATTTTTAGGTCTACTCATGTTGCTGCAAATGGTATGATTTCATTCTTTTTTTTTTTTTTTGCGGTACTCGGGCCTCTCACTGCCGTGGCCTCTCCCGTTGCGCAGCACAGACTCCGGACGCGCAGGCTCAGCGGCCATGGCTCACGGGCCCAGCCGCTCCGCAGCATGTGGGATCTTCCCGGACCGGGGCACGAACCCGCGTCTCCTGCATCGGCAGGTGGACTCTCAACCACTGCGCCACCAGGGAAGCCCAATTTCATTCTTTTTATGGCTGAGTAATATTCCATTGTATACATGCACCACATCTTCTTTATCCACTCCTCTGTCAACGGACATTTAGGTTGTTTCCACATCGTGGCTATTGTAAATAGAGCTGCTGTGAACATTGGGGTGCATGAATCTTTTATTTTTAACTTTTAATTTTTTTTTATTTCTTAAAATGTCCAGATAATTTAGTATTGAAATAATGTGACAATTTTTCAAATTAATGGATTTAAGGAGAAAATTCACATACTAATTGCTATTCATGTTTACAATGTTGGTAAGCCACTTAATAGAACTCAACATTATTATTGACTTAAACATTTATAAAATATGAAGAGTTGCATGATAGGACATCTGTCTCAGTCTAAAAGTCTTTATCGTGTTGACTGGGGAAACACTAGGGCCACCTCATTAAAGCCAAAATCAAGATAAAAATGTAGACTAGCACATATTACTATTTTTAGTATATTATCTAAAATAATTACGTGAGAAAAATATTTAAAGCAAATAGTTAAAATTACTGTTGTTTAAATATGTTGTACTGCAGACATTCAAGAACTAAAAACTGCTTTAAACTCTAGGAAAATTCAGTAGGGCACATGGAAACAACAATATAATGTGGAGAAATTTTATATATGCATATTATTAAAATGTGTGTGTTTGAAGATAGGATTTAATAAAGAGAGCTTCATTTACCATACAAGAGATATGTAAAGTGTCTGAGAGAAAAAACTTAACAAGGAATGTGAAAGATGTACAGATATGAATAAAACTTTACAGTGTTTCAAAAGTACTCAAAAGAGAACTTGAACAAATATACTAATGTGGGGATAATTCTACAGAATTCTAATAAAGGACATATAACTGTACTGTAGACTACGGGGCCAAACATAAAACAAGTATGTGATTGGTTCCCGGTATTACTTGTACTGTCAAAGGACGAAGAGGCGGCGCTTCACAGGGGAGGTTTGCAAACAGGCTGAAACAATCATGGAAGGTAGTAGCAAAAAATATTCCACTAATTACTAAGTATTCCCCCATGTGTCTTTTAAAATTAGACTTTTTACACTTTCCGGATATATGTCCAGGAAAGGGATTGCTGGGTCATATAATAATTCTATTTTTAGTTTTCTGAGGAACCTCCATCCTGTTCTCCGTAGTGGCTGCATCAACTTACGTTCCCACCGACAGTGCAGGAGGTTCCCTTTTCTCCACACCCTCTCCAGCATTTGTTATTTGTGGTCTTTTTGATGATTCCCATTCTGACCAGTGTGAGGTGATACCTCATTGTGGTTTTGATTTGCATTGCTCTGATAATTAGCGATGTTGAGCATGGTTTCATGTGCCTGTCGGCCATCTGTGTGTGTTCTTTGGAGACGTCTTTGTGTGGAAATATGCCTGCCTTTCTCTTGGGTAAATACCGGGAGTGGAGTGGCTGGGGCATATGGTAGGTACGCGCCTGACGCTTTACAAACCCACCAAACTGTTTTCCCAGCTGGTCCCTGTTTCACACTCGCATCAGTGGTGTCTGCGTCCCGGTGGCCCAGCGTCCTCTCCAGCCGCTGTGGGCCTTTGGGATGGCTGTGAAGGGGC